CACCTGAAGATGGCACATTTGTGCCGAAACATGTAGTGAGAGTGAGAAGAGGGGCAGATGAATGTATGCACTAGAAGACGGATAAAACAAATCATGAACTTAAATCAGTGCAACAGGACGCTAAAATATAACATTGTTAATAGTAGTCATACTAGAAGCGTATACCGCACCTGAAGATGGCACATTTGTGCCGAAACATGTAGTGAGAGTGAGAAGAGGGGCAGATGAATGTATGCACTAGAAGACGGATAAAATAAATCATGGACTTAAATCAGTGCAACAGGACGCTAAAATATAACATTGACACAAAATATATTGTTTGCACTTGAGACGGAGTTTATATCATTTATCGTATGGAGTGCAACAGGATGCTTAAATATAATATTAAATATAATATTTCTTCCACCCGTTATCAAAATATTAACATTTTAAGCCGTCGCCGTGTTAGTGTAAATTTTACACAGAGATTTGAAGGGGCAGAAGACGTACCATTTTGTTAAGGAAAGCTGGTCTTCTAAGCCTCCGTTCTAGATTTTTCACAACAATATTCTTCGTACAATATTTACAGATTTATCTTTGTACCGGAGTTGTTTCCTGTGAGGTAGATACTGAATTTTTATATATTATTCAGAAGAAATTTGGTCTTTATAAAACCATGACCCACATGATTATAGTAACAAGATTCAGATCTATAACACATAAGCACACGAATAAGAACGGGACCACATATGGTTCAAAAATTTAAAATATTTAAGGTACGTACCAAGATAATCTAATGCCTTTTCTTAAGAAAAATACAGAAATCCACTCCGCGCAGTTTTTAATTTTAGCACTCTGGACAAAGGTTCCTTACTAGAGAAGGCAGTACATGTTTGCACTTATCTCAGCAACAGGAAATGGTGATAAAAAACATTTTATCTTTAAGTGAATATTGATATCGAGGTTTTACAAAGACAGAGAAAGTACATCAAGAGCCACTCTCATGTGGGAAAATTTAACACATTTCGGGGAAAGTACGGTTAACTTCGTGGACAATATACCATTAGCTTAACAACCCTGTTTTTTTAATGCTAGTGGGGTGGGACTAATTCCCTTGTACTGCGGCCACTTCTGGCCTATTGTACCAGCCCCAGATGATAGGTGAGGGTGATTGTGGAGCAATTGGTGGAATGAAGATTGGCAGGGTAAACCGAAGTACTCGGAGAAAAAACCTGCCCCAGCGCCATTTTGTCCACCACAAATCCCACTTGACCAGACCCACGATCGAACCCGGGCCGCCGCGGTGGGAAGCCAGCGACTAACCGCTTGAGCTATGACGTGGCCTTCAGCCCTGGGTTACGACAACATTAATCAGAATACAAAGAGTGCCCAACTTCGACAGCCTCACAGTAAACAGTACGATTTGTACTTTCGTCAAAATCTGAAACATTCCTGTTTGTCGCGTACAGTACGAAGGTCTAACATCTGCATGTGAAACATGAAATCTATACCAATTAACACTTGCACGGGCTGTATTTCTCACATTCACTGATTCAAAAGTCTTTCTGCCTATAAAATGCCAACTGAAGCAACACTCGCAAAAACGTTTTCCAATCTACAGCCATGACAGGTTATCAACGCCATTTGCCCACATGTTCAATTAAGGCCTTACCTACTTTTCTGCGCACCACTTCAATCACACTGCGTCTCCTCCTACCTCTAGGCACGGAAAGTTAGCCTGCCACCCGTTACCATAGCAACCTTATCATGCAATGATTCTTTACAAGTGTATTTCAAGACATCTTCGTCTCCCTCAACATATGAAGAAGATATCAGCATCTATCTTATCAAATGATAGGGCCTATATCGGCGAAACGTGGTGCAGGACACGGCCAGTCCATATTTTCTTTAACAACGACATCAGCGTCGAATGGCTGGATGACTGATGAATGACGAATGACGAACTGGACATGACTTGGAAGCAAGCGATCATGGCATAATCGAAATATTATGCTAGCACGTACTTCGACGCGCTGACAAAAACCACGGAAAACATTAGTCGGAATAGTCGGTGTCCCGGTCAAGATTTCGAACCCAGAATCTCCCCAAAACGAGCTTACAACGTTGTGGTTACACCAACCCGCTCCATCTCAGTTTTTTTTTTGGGGGGGGGGGAGAAAACAATGGGCTATGTTTTGTAGGTTCTCTACATTACGCGAATGAAATGAACACACACCATGGGACGTAAGAGAAAACCGCGTGACGCAGGTAAGCCGGCAACTTAATCAGCCTTTTTTTTTTATTGTTACTGGGGTGCGACTAAGTCCCTTGTACTGCGGCCACTTCTGGCCTTTTAGTACCAGCCCCAGATGATAGGTGAGGGTGACTGTGGAGCAATTGGTGGAATGAAGATTGGCAGGGGAACCGAAGTACTCGGAGAAAACCTGCCCCAGCGCCACTTTGTCCACTACAAATCCCACCTGACCAGACCCGAGATCGAACCCGGGCCGCTGCGGTGTGAAGCCAGTGACTAACCGCTTGAGCTATGGCGCAACTTAATCGGCCTTACTCCACGTACCTTCCGCTAGCTCTAGTTCAGTCGGTTCCGCAGGAGATACGGCGGAATTTGTACTTAAGTGCTCAGTTCAAGAGCTTGTCTTCTTCTTTGTAGCCAATAATGTACAGTACTGATCAGAGAATATTTATGTTGAAACATACGTACGAAAGATTCATCCGTGCCTACAAAACCTTGGGTGTCCAAACTTACTAAGAAGTGGCGGACCACAGGGCACACGTAATAAATATGCGTTACAAAAGGTTTGGGGCACGCGGTAGCGTAGTTTGTTCAGGCACTATGCTACAAGCCGGAAAGTCGCGGGGTCGAATCCCGATGAGGTTATTTTTTTTTTCAGTTTACCTGATCCTTGCAGCTGCACTATGGCCCTGGGGTCGACTCATCCTCTAACAGAAATGAGTACCAGGAATAATCTTGGGGTAAAGGGCAGCCGGAGCGTGAAGCTGACCTTACCGCCATCCATGAGCCGACTGTCTAATAAATATGGGAACCTCAACATCCCAGAACCCTATTGGCCTCCACGGCCTGTTAGTGGGATACCTTTACTTTTGCAAAAGGATTAAGCTCAAACAGATACAGGGTAAGAACGCCTTTGAACAGTTCTTCAGCTGTTGGCGGCTCAAGACGGAAGTGTCAAGCAGTATCTATTCATAGCTTATTTGCTGCTGCTACTAAGAACTGTCATCATCGCCGTAATGAATTCGTGTGCGAGTATGAGGTTCCAGTTTTCTCGATTTCCTTTGTTATATTTTGAGAGTATTAGAATAGCTTTAGCAAGAAGCCGTGGATCTGAATTGTGTTTCCACTTACGAAAGTTTTCGTGTACTACAGCATTACTGGCCACGAGCGTATGTTCGTTCTATTCTTATAAAGCTGTTTCATGCTTTTACCTGTTCTCCCTACAACGTGTTTCTTTTTCTGTTTCACTATAAATATACTTTCGGTACTTCCTGTATTAACTGCTTTAATATTTTAACACTTGACGCAGCAAAACAGTTGGAAATCTTAGGAGGGGAAAGCAACAGAGCTGAAATTTACTCAACAGCCGCTGGAAGACATCAGAAGGAGAAACAAACAAGGAGAAAGCGGCAGACAAATAGCCTTATCATTGCAAACAGCTGAAAATATTAGAAGCCGTGAGTTACGATGAAATTAATTAATAAATTTAATAACGTAAACCGCAAATGATGGTATCACTCATGAGGAATGCAATTAATAAAATTTGATTCCCGGGCACAATTCAATTTCTAATATTTTCTTAGCCTATCTCGCATGAATCTGGATTTCTTCTGTACATAGAAGAACATTCCTAACTCATCAGGGAGGTTCAAATCCAGTCTGCCAACGCAGAATGGTACTGTAGCTCGCTGAACACTGCAGAAATTTAGATAAAAGATTTTATGTACTAACATGAAAGAGACTTGTGCAGTTGGCTTTTGATTTTCCGCGAGATGAACTTAATAACAGAATTAACACTGAAAAAAAGATTTGCGGACACAAACTGGGCTGTAGCGACATCTGACAATGCGAACGCCCTAACAGTGCAGCATAAGCAGGGCAATAGGGCACAACGAAGCAAAAGTGAAAACTTGCTAAGAGAGAAACAAATTTCCTCCTGAGAGATGTTTCAACACGGACGAGACTGGCATATCTGGTGCGACTTCAAGTGTGCCAAAAGTTGTTAACTACAAAAGTGAAGAGGGAACCCACCTCATCGGGACTCGAAACCGCGACCTTCCCACTAGTAGCATAATGCCTCAACCAACTACGCTACCGCATGTACCTGTTGTAGCTAATAGTTAAATATAACTTGGCATGTACTCAGAACTCATTTATTAGCTAACACCGCTCAACCTAGTCGAAAAATGTGAAATGCACACTCCTAAGCCTCAACCCTTCCCTAACACGGAACATTCAAATAAAATCAAACAAACTCCGTGGTTTTTGTCCACAAGCGAACTATACCGACCGAGCGACCGCCGCTTGTCGGCGAAGTTAGTACCAACTTAACGGACAGGGGGTGTCGCGTGGTCAGGGCAACGAATCCCCACGCCGTTAATTTTGGTTTTCTAGACCGGAGCCGCTATTTCATTGAAATAACTCCTCAGTTATCCTCACGAGGCTGAGTGGACCCCGTTGCAGACCCACTTCTTCGCTCGGTCGGTATAGTTCGTTTGTTATAAAATACGGATAACAAACAAAATGAAAAAGAAAGAAGATCGGAAAAGGGGGCAGGGCAGGGAGAAGCATACCCTCGTCTGCTGGTGGTGTGGGCGTCTCCTCGCGCGGTTCCCTCACTGCATCGAAGACACTCAGCTGCTGGCGTTGCAGCTCCAGGTCGGCTTCCAGTGCTTTCTTCTCATCACCCACGCCACCAAACGGGTTGTTGTTTAAGGCTGCAGACTTCGCACCGGCTGGAGACAGAAGCACGTCGTCGACTGCATCGACGTCGGTCTCAGGCCCGAAGTCGTCATCGTCGTCCTCGTCGTAGTTGTCGACACCGGCCGTGTTATTGCCGTTCTTTGGACGGTCCAGGAAGTACTGGCCGGTGGAGGACGGAGAAGTTCCATTGTGTTTGTACATCTGGCTGTCGTCTCCCCCGATCCCTATGTCCAGGAGGAGGCCCCCTTTCTGGTATGGGACGGAGTCCGATGTGGAGCAAGCGAGGAAAGGATTATTTCCTGCGGAAGAGCTGCTGTTATGATCGGAATTGGTCTCCATGGCGCAGGCCTCCTGTAGCGGCGGGCCGTTCTTTGCCCACTCCGGGATTGGGCGGGAAGCGAGCTGGGCGGGTTCCGTCAGAAAGACTACTATCACGCTGATGTTGTCTGTAGAACCATGCAGCTTGGACAGCTGGACAAGGCGCTGGCTGACGTACTCGATATCCCCTGCAACAAGACACACAGTTGCACATCATTGCCTCATAAATGTGATATTTTCTGTAGTGCAAATTTCATAATTAATACAGCCCTACACTGATGTCTTTTTGACTTTATGCAATTTAACATCTAAATCAATGTCAGTCATCCTCTTTTACATGGCCTGTTCATGGTTTCTTCAGTTATATTATCAGCTTTCGTTTCCCCGCTACCTTTTGCCTAACAATGTATATCCCAAATATTCTTCGATTACTCTTTACTTCTGTTTGCACTAATAACCCAGTGCCATATTTTAAGCATGGGTTAAAAGTATGTTATATAATTACAAATATGAAGTCCTTCTTCTGGTTCTTAAACGTTAACGTCCTTCAAGTTACTCCACCTGTAGGTATGAATGCTCGTCCGTTCACTCAGTACGTCGACCACTAACTGGTCTATTCTACCAATCCCGGACGATGGATAATGAGTGTGGAGCAATCGGTTGAATGAGAACTGGCAGGGGAAACCGAAGTACTCTTAGAATACCTGCCCCAGTGCCACTTTATCCACCACAAATCCCACATGACTTGACCTTGGCTGGAACCCGGGCCGCAGTGGTGGAAAAGTTAGGGACTAACCGCTTGTGCCATGGCATGAACTGTTCTGTGTGTTGACTACTAACTTACGGAAAGCCGTTAAGTACTAGAGTTTTCCTATATCAATTTTTTTTCTCCTCTTAACACAATTTTATATATCACTGGCTTTTATGAAGGGTTATCGTTATTCGGAACAGGAGAATTAATATTCCACGTTACCGAACACTAAAATATTAGATTACTAATAATTTTGTATATCTAGGGAGACAAATTACAAATGCGCCCGCTCCACAGCGACAAATCTCTTAGATGTACGAATATGACTTGCGAGCAATGACTAACGCAGTGTAACAGTATAAGGTGTATGCCTTAGGGCTGCAGCTGGTCGCGCCATAGCTCAAGCGGTTAGTCGCTGGCTTCCCACCGCGGCGGCCGGGGTTCGATCCCGGTTCTGGTCAAGTGGGATTTGTGGTGGATAAAGTAGCGTTGGGGCGGGTTTTCTCCGAGTACTTCGGTTTCCACCGCCAATCTTCATTCCACCAGATTCATCATCATAATCACCCGGGGCAGCCTACAATAGGCCAATCAGTGTCCGCCGTGCCGAATGGACCCAGTTGGACTCACCCCCACTAAGCGAATTAAAAAAAAATAGGGTTGCAGCTGAAGCACTGCCCACAAGGATGGAGGAAAAAGACTGGCGTATCTAAAATGAGTTTTCACTATACTATCCGAAAGGGATTAAGAAAACCCCCTTTCAGGATTGCCATTCGAACCGGATACCCCAGAAAAGAGTAGACAGGGATGCCCACGAATGACCGCACTCGAACACAGGACAGCGCGTCCTCAACCTCAACATGACGCAAACTGCGAGTGAGATCAACTTGCACGGAAAATCTCTCGTGGACTCTGGACTCCAGTTCGTTCCTTTCTCAAGAAACAACATGTCAATTATCTGCACTATTCACTTAGACTGGTTACACACAGCTGTACGTCATAAAGCGCGAGGGATGAGCTCTGCAATTCTACCAGTACACCAGTTGGAATTGAGTGGTCCCATTCCGGCTCCTGGCGCGACACCCCTGGAGGGAAATGTCTCAAAGGCGCACATGGAAAGCGAACGCTGAACATAACGCATTACGACAAAAGTGGTCAGGTTCATGTTTATGCTGTTTACCTCTCTGAAAGGGCAATTACTGTGTTTAGAATTATGTCAAGAAGGTATACAGGATTGACCGAAGAGAGATGAAGTGACAGGAGGTCGGAGAAAGCTGCATAATGAGGAGCTTAATTAATTCGCATAGTGGGGGGTGGAGTCCAGTTGGGTCCACTCGGCAAGGCTGCCACTGATTTGCCTACTGTACCTGCCCCGGATGATTATGATGGAGAATTTGGTGGAATGAAGACTGGCAGGGGAAACCGAAGTACACGGAGAAAACCCACCCCAGCGCTACTTTGTCCACCACAAATCCCACTTGACCAGACCTGGATTTAAACCCGGGCCGCCGCGGTGGGAAGCCAGCGACTAATCGCTTGAGCTAGGGCAGGGCCCACGAGGAGCTTCATAACTTCTACTCTTCTCAAAGTAATTAGAATTATCAAGTCAAGGAGGATGAGGTGGGAAAGAGACCACTGGGAAGACCAAGGCGTAGGTGGGTGGACATTATTAAAATGGATCTTAAGAGATAGGATAGGATGGTATGGATTGGACTGATCTGGCTGAGGATAGGGACCAGTGGAGGGCTCTTGTGAACACGGTAATGAACCTTCGGGTTCCATAAATTGCTGGGAAATTCTTGAGTAGCTGCAGATTTGGCTTCTCCTCAAGAAGAGCTCAGCTCCATAAGTAAGACATACAGGATTCGAGGAAATAATGCTCCATATGTTTTGGAGACGAGAGGTCAGATCAAGCTCCGACCATCTTTGCACTGAAAAGGGTACTCCTATTCACAACAACTTTGTATAGACGCATGAACTAGTAATTTCATGCATTCTGACCTCCACTGTAGATGGACGTGGGCGATCAGACTCTGGCTACAGCAATTTATCCCCGAAAACGACATTCCTGTACCCATCAAAATGTCATGAAGGCATACACGGACGGGTAAAGCTCCTCACGCTCTAATAAAAAAACTCCGTGGTTTTAGTCCGCAAGCGAACTATACCGACCGTGCGACCGCCGCTTGTCGGCGAATTTAGTGCCAACTTTAGCGGATAGAGGGTCTCGCGTGGTCAGCGCAACAAATCCCAACGGCCGTTAATTTCGGTTTTCTAGACCGGAGACGCATTTTCCTTGAAATAGCTCCTTAATTATCCTAACGAAGCTGAGTGGACCTCGTTCTAGAACCACTACTTCTCAGGAAATCTGGTAGCGGCAGGAATCGAAGCCGGACCTCTGGATCGGTAACCAGGAACTCTAACCACTAGACCACAGAGGCGGTCCCTCACGCTCTAATAGCGACACTAAATTGGAGTGGTGGGGCAGGATCACGTTCCATGCATTTGTGGCTGCTTTGCCACAGGGCAAACGGCTCTGAAGGATGTACAGCGCAATCGTGGGCCTAGGCCTACCTCCATGAGCTTCCCCGTTCACTTCGGTTTTTCTAGATCTTACACATACGGTAGGACGCCTTGGGCGAGTGATCAGCTCGTCGCAAGGCCTCTACCTGTAGACAAACACAGAAAAACGCACACAAACATCCATGCCCTAAGTGGGATTCGAACCCACGATCTCGGCTTCCGAGCGAGCGAAGACAGTGCATGCCTTAGACCGCTCGGCTACCGTGACCGGCGTAACAACAATTTACCTGGAAGAAATTAGGAATAAGGGCAGCCGCTACACCTGAACCTCAGAAATACGGAGCAGAAATTCCTGCCACTGAACCGCTGCATTCAAACCCACGCTTTCTTATTCAAAGCGTACGCGGAGGCGAGTGACAAATTTCATGATCGAATCGTCTTCATTCACGTGGAGAACCTTCCCACGTCCATTACACAACAGGCTAGCTTGTTACCCGATGAAGATGTACGCTATGACGGGTAGTAACTAAACTTAACACTCACCGCCGTTGAGACCTCAAATCTCGCGATTTCATATTTCCTCGGACAAAAGAAAACTGGAATGAGTTAATGGAATACATTTTTCAAAAGCCAAAAAATGTTTCAGTTACTTCAAATCAATATCTTAAGTGAGGTACCAGTTCGTTTTCTGATCACACGAAGCTGAGCTTCAGGCTGCGCCATAGCTCAAGCGGTTAGTCGCTGGCTTCCCACCGCGGAGCCCCGGGTTTGATCCCGGGTCTGGACAAGTAGGATTTGTGGTGGACAAAGTGGCGCTGGGGCGAGTTTTCTCAGAGTATTTCGGTTTTCCCTGCCAATCTTCATTCCACCCAATTCTCCATCATCATAATCACCAGGGGCAGGCTACAATAGGCCAATCAGTGGCCGCCTTGCCGAGTGGACCCAGTTGAACTCCCCCCTCCACTAAGCGAATTTTTAATATATTGCCTAGAGTAAGAAAATATGAAAACGAACCTATCAATTTCCCCACATGACTTCATGGCGCGGAGCTTNAAAGCGCAGGGAGCCGGCGGAAACTATGGAATACGGTGACCTATTAGTTAAATTCTGGGGCACGCAGTAGCGTAGCTGGTTGAGGATCTACGCTATAAGTCGGAAGGTCACTGGATTTTTCAATTGTCCTAATCCTTCCAGCCGCACTGTGGCATTTGGGTTGACACAGCCTCTTAACAGAAATGAGTAGCAGGGATCTTCCTGGGGGGGGGGGGGGCGGGGGGGGCGCGCGCGCAGNACCAGGGATCTTCCTGGGGGGGGGGGGCTGAGGGAGGCGGGCGCTTAAGGCTGACCTCACCGCCGTCTGTGATATCATCTTGGCATGCGAGAATTACCTTCTGGGCGCACTTATAGACAGGCCTATTCCAGAGTGACATCATCAGTCCCTCGGTATGCAATATGCCACTTTCTGGGCGCACTTAGTGCTCGGCCTCCCTCTCTCCAGAGCTAACAGCTGCAGGACTTCCTTAAGCATCGGCAGGCGGAATGTTTTATTTATGAGGCACTTCACCCAGCCTGACTCTTTCATTAGCCCCATTCAGAGCGCGAGGTCATGTACATCATGAGGCCATGACCCATTCCTTTACTGACATCTACATAGGCCGATTAAAGAATATTACGAAACACCTTCCGTAACGACATAGCTTAGGCAAAATCACTGGCTACCGACTGAATGACCCTGGTTTGATTCCCGGTATGGCCAATCGTATTCTCGTCAGCAACAAGTTACCGACTCTGGGGCTGATAGAACCTCCTGTTCAATGCATATGAGCAGAATATCCGATAAGCGTGGCACCACAGACAACAGCATCCCTAAGAATGAACTGACACTGCATGTCAGATACGTTTGCGAATTGAGCGGGT